ATACACTTTTTATAAAAAAGCCTAAGTCTAAATTTTTTGTTAAAGGATATATTCTGTTTCATGCACGATGTGCATGTGTATTTTCACTAAATGTGAGATAAAGCTAAATAACGAATTACATGTCCATCACTTGAAAAGAATACAATCAAAAAGAATATATCTTTTGTTATAGAACATTACAAAATAGCGCACGGAAGGTCATTTGTGTCCCGTATATGACTAATCCGAGAATGATTAATTTCACAAGCAAATAGCAAATAAATAAAATACACTATCGTCTTTCACATCGTCTCCTTCTCCCATCATATTTTATCTTGTCTCTTATCTTTTTCGTCATGGCATTCACAAATACATTGGTGAAAAGGCTAGCCGCGACTCTATATATATCAGTCACTAGAATGACAATTGTGTGACACTGAAACGCAATAGAATTTTATTATTGAAAGCGCGGAGAAAATACAGTTGCATGAAGAAATGATCTGCTTGAAAATTAGCATCTTGCGTAGAAGATATATTTTTTGCGTGAACAGAAGTTAAGATTGTGCAATCAGTTTAATTTTGCGCGAAAAAATGCGAGTTGATGTAATTAATGATTGACAAAAATATGTAATCATGAATGTCATGATTTAACATTCCACGTGTAATACATTTTGAATAATTCATATAAATCTCGTAGCAAATCTGGAGACACTAATAGTGTCTCGGCGCTAACGCTGATTCTACAATGAGTAATTGGTAATCGGTAGTCCTAAGTCTTCTCGGTGAAGTTGACCAACTTGTACGATTAAGTCTGATTGGCCAACTTCACCGATTAAGACTAATGCCCGTATTTATAGTTAAACCTTGTACTTAAGGCTTCCTTAAATTTATCTTTAGATGCTCAGGAGCCAATGAAATATAATTAAATAAATAATTCGTAGAGCAAAATCTAAAGATAAATTTAAGGAAACTTAAATATAAGGCCTGACTATGAATACGGGCATTTGACTTCCGACTACCGACTAATTGTAGAATCAGCATCAGCGACATTGCCGTATTCTCTTTGCGCCAGATCGAGATTATCTCAATAATGGCTGTCTCGATTGAGTTTTAAGTATAGCTTAATCGCTAAGTATATTAATAAGCTAAGTATAACTTAGCTTATACTCCGATTGTATTATATGTGTTTTTATTCTCTTTATTTTTTCTTGTATCCTACAAGTGGAGATATTGAGACGCAAAGTTCCGAACTGCTACTTTTCAGATTATATAGCGAAATTTAAGAGCGATTTTAGGTGAGAACACCAACATGCATTGCATATCAAGACATTGTACACTGTTAATTCCTACCACCGCGTAGTGTGTGTTTCGTCAGACGAACACGAGATTCACGAAATGCAACCTCATTACCGATCTATAATACTAGTCGCGTGGTATCGCAAATGTCCAGTATTTGAAGGGTAATTTTATCAAAATGATCTGACTGGCTCCTTTCAGCCCAGCGATCTTTACTTGGAAGCGTATTATGATTATGATTTCTATAAGAAATCAGAAATTCACGGCCAGAAGAAGAAGAAGAAGAAGAAGAAGGATAATTTCGCTACTCTTATATACTCCGATATAAACGTCAGTGTCCGAAAAATCAAAAGTGTTGGTACAAAATAGAATCTTTAGGTGGATCAAAGAATGATGTATTTAGATTTCGATCTGTTAGTAGTAATATAGTAATTGCTCCGGCGAGTAGGAGAGAAAGGACCCAGCAAACGAGAATGGATTAAAATGAATTGAAATGAATTCAGCTTTTCAGAAATATTGATGTTAAAGATGTTCACGATGTTAAAATGAATGCTTTTCCATTCTGAATGCATTTTAATTCATTTATAGGAATTGCATGGAGCATATCTCTATGCCTTTCAATCTAAAAATAATATTAATTTTTTTCTGTGCACACAAACAATTGTGAATATTGTTCAATTCAAAATTTTGAATAGGAAATGCAGTTTTTCAATCCAATTGCATCCAATTGAATGTAATTGAATCCAATTGAATTCAATTAAATCCAAACAAAATTCGCTATTTAAAATAATACATTCGGATAGAAAAAGATGTCAATCCATTTTAATCCATTCTCATTTGCTGGGGCAGTAATTAAAATTGATCACAATCAATACTAGAAATTAAATGCCTATTACGGTCGAAGCCGGATCTTCATTGCTTTAAATAATCTTGAATTATTAATATACTATGGCTGGGATTAATTTGGATGCTCACACGCTTTAAGTGCTTGTAATCATCATTCTATCTTTATCGTTCATTAGATGTAAAATAAGAATAGAATTACTGAGAAACGCTGAAAGCATCCCAATCGACCGCAGCGTCTGTATATATATATATTTGCATATACATCATATTGTAGTCTTTTCAAACTGCGAATTGTTTTTCCGGACTTATAAACGCAATGAAACTACTCTAGTAATCGCGAAATAAATTGACAAGCAATTTTAATAATTTGCTGTTACATCAGGGAGAAACCTGAAACCGGTTCTACACTGGTTTTTAGTTGCAAGCTGATCGCAAGTTTGTTGCGACAGCCAATCTGAAGCTTGGATTTTGAAATTAACGTTTCACATTGGCTTTCGCAACAAACTTACGATCAGCTTGCAATTAATACAGAACCGGCTTGAGAGAGAACATAACGACTCAAAACCTGTAACCGCAAAATGCTACAGCGCACTATTGCCCTCTGACAAAGTGGATGTAAACTACATAGCAACGTCCACTTTTCTTAGGGTACATCATCCATTTTTCAAGTCTTGAACGATCTAAGAAAAGTGGACGTTGCTATGTAGTTTACATCCACTTTGTCAGAGAGCAGTAGTGCGCGACAGCATTTTTACAGGTTTTACAGGGCCGTTATATCCTCTCTCAGGTCCTATCCTTTCTCTCCGAACTTACACACTGTGATTTCACCCCTTATTGTGTCAGTGTATGCCAATTCAGAACTTGGAATGGAAAAAGAACAGACTTAAAGAAAGGAGGAGCAAGGAGGAACACGTTGATCCGCGTCTTTGGGTTACGCCAACGCGGTACGTTAATGCGTATCGCTGGTCATAATTATTCGTGAATCTTTTCTATTCCTCGACAGCAAAATCCAGAGTAGGGAAAATCTCACCTGTTTTCACGGTGCATACCAACGTCGATCTGCCTGTCTCGTTTATTAAGGAATACGGCTATGGCGTCGTCTGATCAACCGATCAACGTTGTTCCTGACTCGGCGATTAACGTTACAGAAACACCGGAGAGCACAAAGGAGTGAGTTGTTCCTTTTACAAGAAAAACGTCACGGACGCGTTATCCTGTAATCTGATTTGTAATTGCGTCATATGGACGGATAGAACCAGGAAGCTCCCTTACGAGTATTCTCTATTTATATATCGCTCTTGCGACACTTGGACTCTCTGTAACTAATTAGCTTTGAGTACGTCGAATATATACCATGCTTTGTCCTTTTATATAAGTGATAACTGATAATGACTTCAATTGCACTCAGTGCACATTAAAGTCGTCATACACAAATTGATGTAAAAATATGTTTAATATAAATATAAAAATGGGTTATACCATGAAATTCTCAATATTTTATTGTGCTGTTAAGTAAAATCTGTATTTTATAATTCCAAATATTTGCATCTTATTTTTATACAGATTAGATCAGTGTACAATAGCTTTAATATATACTAGTGCCAACTTACTTGCCGCACTTAGTGCGTCCAATTGCTATAAGTATTCTATTTATTCCGTGAATAATATTAAGATTCGCATGAATAATATTAGAATTCGCAACAGTTTTTAAATAGAGATGCTTGAAATTCCTAGAAAAAAGAATCATCTATGTTCGTACAATTATCGAATATAAATATATATGCAGTCTTTTGGATCCAAGCAACATGGAATATTTTAGCAATATTGCAACAATGCTGTAGTGTGCATATAAGCATTATATGTCAATGTTAAAAGACGATTCTTTCTTTTTTTTTTAATTAGGAATCTTATTTTATATTTTGCCTTTAATTTTGTTAAGCACAATTTTGGACTGCATGAGGTATTATTTTATTCTTATTTAACATTCAGTGAGAATAAGGATAAATTATCATACGTTATGTGCATCATGTATTTTATAATATGAATAAAATATATACATCATGCAGCATCTATTTTGAGTATTTAAAACTATTGTGTCAGGATAAAATAGCCAATGTGATGTCACAAAATGCTTTGTTCATATGTAATTAGAAATTCTAATAGTTATTTTATAATAAAATTAATAAAGGCTTTAAAAGGCTTCACTTAATTTATTAATTTATTCATTAGAATCTATTTGAATTATTTGTTTTTCACATTACATATATTTTCATAGATTTTCAGTACTTATAGGTGTATTATATTTCTGTCAATATAGATTAACTTTAATTTCAACGTAATTTACTCTTCATCTTTTTCTAATTCTTAAAATTACAATAGAAGAAAAGCAAATTAAATCAAGATTAAAGTTAACCCACATTGATAGAAATGGACAGCAGTAAATAACGTATCTTTAACCTATAGAATAAATAAAACTTATTCATGTGTTATTATAATATTGCTGGAAATGCTATATGCTGTATAAAGACATATCAGTTTCGTAATGCACTTTTTAACAAAAAGAAGAATTATGCACAGATCTAAATGTTGAGATCGGTTTTTTTCTATAATGGTGATATGATTTCGAAAGATTTTTCGTAGGTCTTACCAATAGGAATTGGAATAGTCTTGTGAAATTTTGTCATATCTGTCACTATTTCCGAGATAATGGCTTTTTTATTTAGATTTGTGTATATTTTCTTTAAGAAACTATATTTATTGTTATTATTATCTTCTATTAGTAACGTTTATTACTTACATATAATATTTACAGATTGGCAGAATCAAAAAAGAAAGTTGCTAATCAACATTATTCACAAAAACAGTACAAGAAAGCATTGGTTGGTTACAATGAAGTTATTGGTAAGTGTTCTAACAATATTATGTAAATATCTACTGTTTCTGTTTTAACATGCCTACGTTCTGTTGCACGCATAAGTCCGGATCTACAATAGATTTCTAAATCTTAAGCCTTAAGAAATGAACGAATTACAGGTTCGATTCTTTTCATTCAACTATAATTGGTCAATTTCTTACGGTTTAAGACTTAAAACATCTATTGTAGATCCGGATTTATGCGTATGAGGTATCATTTTATTCTTGTTCTCAGAGTGTAAAACAAGGATAAAATGATACTTCATGCGTATTATGTGTGCAACAGAATATAGCCCATGATTTTATCCCCGATACTATTTTTATATCAGCATGTTATTTTAATGATATTTCATTGTAATTTTTATATCAAACTCAATAAAATTTTATTTCTCTCTTCAAAAATGTTGAATAGCTGAGATCTCTATTAGTTGACTCATTCGGCAGTTAAATAAGGAAAAACTAATTTCCGAAAAATATTGAATCTTTAAATTTTACTAATTATAAATTTTTGTAAATAATATTATAATGAACCTAAAATATTTTTCAGCATTGTGCCCTGATATATCGCATTACTACAGTAATAGAGCAGCCTGTTACATGATGCTTGGGCAATATCGAGATGCATTGGCAGACGCTAAAAAATGTATTGAATTGGAACCAACATTTTCTAAAGTATGTTTGATGATTTTTTAGCTAGTTAATTATATTATAATGAATCAATAAATTTACTTTTTGTTTACATTCCAGGCATATATAAGAATGATCAAGTGTTGCTTGATTTTGGGAGACATTTTAGAAGCTGAGACATCATTAAAGAAATTGATGGATTTTGATTCTAATAACGAGTCAATAGCTGCTGAACAAAAAGACATAGCATATGTAAAAAAATTCCTTAAGGATGCTGATGCTGCTTACAATGCCAAGGATTATCGCATGGTAACAGAATTTGTTCTGATAACATCTATTAATAATCGATTTGTATATAATATTCTTATTTGTATGTGTGTGTGTATGTGTCGTGCGTGCGTGCGTGTGTGTGTGTGTGTGTGTATGTGTGTGTGTGTGTGTGTGTGTACAATTATTGGAATCGTATTCCGTAGGTTGTATATTGTATGGATCGTTGTTGTGATATAAGTACATCTGGAACACGTTTTAAATTGATCAAAGCAGAATGTCTGGCGCTTTTAGGAAGATATCAGGAAGCTCAAGATATTGCAAAGTAAATTATCATGCTAAATCAAGAGTATAATAATTATTATTTATATAAATCTTATTATTTTTTAATTAAAATCATATTATTTTTTATCTTATCTTAGTAATGCTTTACACATCGATAAACAGAATGCTGAAGCGTTATATATTCGTGGAATGTGTTTGTACTTTCAAGACGATGTTGATAGAGCTTTTACACATTTCCAACAAGTACTGCGACTTGCACCAGATCATGATAAAGCATTGGAAATATACAAAGTAAGAAGATAAAATAAAAATAATTTTCCTCTAATTCGTATTAATTTTCCAATTATATAATTAATAATATGCTGCATTAATTCTATATACTTTTCTTTTTCTATTATAGAGAGCAAAATGTTTGAAGAAGAAGAAAGAAGAAGGAAATGCAGCATTTAAAAGAGAACAATATCAAGAGGCTTATAATCTTTATAATGAAGCCTTAACTATTGATCCACACAATATTATGACTAATGCTAAGTTGCATTTTAATAAGGCAACAGCTGCAGCTAAGGTATTATACTTAAAAAAACATTAATGTTTGCACAAATATATTTATTTTGTTGTTTTTTGTAGTTAGGAAAGTTAAATGAATCTGTAGCAGAATACACAAAGGCTTTAAATCTCAACGAAAATTATCTAAAAGCTCTTTCAAAAAGAGCGAATATTTATATGGAACTCGAAGAATACGAAGAGGCAGTTTATGATCTTGAAAAAGCGTGTAAAATGGATAAGACTAATCGCGGTATGAATCATTGCTTATCAGTTCTAACATATAATAGGATGGGATATTAATAATAGTTTATATTTTAATATGTATGTATATTTTTTATAATTTCTCAGAAACAAAACGATTGCTCGGAAAAGCTAAATTACTATTGAGAAAATCTAAAAGAAAAGATTATTATAAGATTTTAGGTATTGACAAAAATGCATCTACCGAAGATATTAAGAAAGCTTATAGGAAACGGGCTCTGGATCACCATCCAGGTAAAGAATAGATATTTTGTTTGTTAAAAAATGTAATTATAAATTTTATATTATTATATCTTATATTTTACAGATCGTCATGTTAACGCCAGTGAAGGGGAGAAAAGAGAACAAGAAAAAAAATTTAAGGAAGTCGGAGAAGCTTATGGGATTCTCTCGGACCCCAAGAAACGATCTCGCTATGATCGCGGTCATGATTTAGATGATAACGAGAGTGGTTTCCAAGGTTGATATCAACCTTTTTCTGTGTATTATTTTTATTAATATTTTACATCTATTTTGTTTTTTTATTACTATTAAATTACATATATTCTCTTGTCTGTTTTTCCAGATATGGATCCAAATGCAATGTTCCACTTCTTCTGTGGTCAAGATGGAGGCTTCCAATTCCAGTTTCAAGATGGAGGTTTCCCTAGTAGTGCTTTTCAGTTCCAGTTTCCAGGTTAACGATATTTTAAAAAATATGATACAATGTATCCAACTGTACATGGAATTCGATGGTATGATATTCGTCTGTTTTTAGTAAATACTGCATCGAATTATTCGAATATTTAAGCGATGCAACATAGTATCATTTGCATTTCGTAATTTTGAAATTGATAAATATAGGTATTTATCCGAGCGCGCGATTAACATACATATTTATTTAAATACGACATAATCCCTACATCACAAACTTGCATAAAAGTTGCAGCAACACTGCTGCACTATTGTAGCAACATTGCAGCAATATCGCAGCGATATTGTTGCAAATTCTGTATGGGAAACTTGTATATATAACATGATTCTAATATATATTATGATACGGTAGATCTTCGATTTAATGAATTGATTAAGTGAAAAAACATTAAGGTTAACGTCGTACAACACGCAATTTCGAGATTTGAGACACACTCGTACCTGACGAAACCTTTGTGAATAGATAAGCAAATGTTCATTAGATTAATAGATGAAGCATTCTTTTACTAACAAGTCTACTTTATTTTTTGAAATTTTAGGCTGTCTGTTATCGCGTTGTAGATATTATATTAATTATTGAAAGAGATTAGATCTTTACTCTTTTATTTATTTTGATATTAGTCATTGAAATGCTTTTAAAAGTTCGTAAAATCGAGGGTTTACTATATAATTTCGCTAATTGCAACAGAGTATAAGTTTGATGTAGAATTAATGAAATATTGCTCCATATGTATATTGTACTTCTATTAGATCTATTTCTGTTTTTATATGAGACAGTCTCAAAGTGGCATAATTAATAAAAATTATAAGCTATAATAAAAATTCCATATATTATTCTACAATGATAAACACGCTTACATCGTTTCCAAATGTAAAAGTTTTAAGAATATATTGTTTTATAGATCTAATGTATTCATTCTAAAAATTTTTCTACAAATATATAAATTATTAGTGGCGATGTAAACTTCAATGATAAAAAGGGGTAAGATTTTGAAATTAATATTCGTTTTCAATTTCGATCATTTGCATCGTGTACTTGTATATGTATTATGTATGGTATATGATAAAAAATAAAAATTTCCTCATCTCATAATATAATCATTATAATAAATGTTTAAATTTGCTATTATTTGTAGATTCCATTTTATAGATTGGAATTTTTATTTTCTTAGATCTTTTTTATGAAATGAAAGAATTTAGTCATACACTCATTCTTTCTCTCTCTCTCTCTCTCTCTCTCTCTCTCTCTCTCTCCCCCCTTCCCCCCTCTCTCTTTCTGATTTAATTTAAAGGATTATTTAATATTTTATGACAACATTAAAAATCTGCCAAAATAAAGTCTGCTTGGATGAAAAAGAAAGTTTCCTTGTCGATTTTAATTTAGATTTTAAGCTAGATTTTATAGTTTAAGCTAGATTTTAATAATTTTTAATAATTCGTGTGAATAATATAGTTTTTAATGATTCATTTGTAAATAATAATTCTACATCATTATTACGATTATTGATATATCATCTATCATTGTTAATAGTAATTAAACAATCCAGAAAATCAAATAAATACCATTGGATATTTATAGATACCGTTGGATTTCTATAGTATTCTGCACTCTTTCAGGTAGCTGAAAGTGTGCCGACATGACAATGTTGAACGTGGACACTTCTTTTTGAAACCACGTAGTAGCTTCTTGCTAAGCCGAGCAATTTCGACGATCACTTCTTGTCCAAGAGAGCATTTGTTCCTTGTTGTCGGGAGAGAAGGTTGGGAATGAGAAGAAAAGAGAGTGAGGAAGATGTGATGAAGAGACAAAGAAGAACCAACTGTTTCGAGGGGACAGAAG